CGAAGAACGGCGAGGCGGGCAACAAGCCCAAGTCGATGTACCAGAAGGCCGTGATGGACGCCGGCGTGAAGGCCTCCGCTGTGAGCAAGGCCGTCGCCGCGGTGCGCCCCGACCTCGCCAACGTGGCCTTCCGCCGCGCACGCAAGATGGCGTTCACGGTGAACCACATGAACAAGGTGCGTGCCGCCCGCAAGGAGCGCTCGTCGAAGATCACGTTCCAGCGCAAGTCCGTCCGCCCCAAGCGCCACTGAGCGACACCCGAGAGCTGGGTCATGGGTGAGATCTCGGATCGGGATGCAACGCACTCTCTTCGCTAGTTTTCATTTTGGTTGTTTTCGTTTATTTAAAAAAAAACACACAAGGGCGCGATGGGTTTGTTATTTTTGGTGTGCCTCTTTCTCGTTATTGACGTTTGCAGCTCTCCTGTATGCTCTTCACTGCACGGGAAACACCCTCTCCCTCCTCCTCCCTTTCTTCTTGCTTTTTCTTTTCTTTGTTGTTGTCTGGCTTGTTTGGTGCAGGGGACGATCCCCACGGGGTTGAGGTGGCACGAGTGAAGGGTGCAGGTGTTGTACGGGGGCAGATGAATCTCTTCAGATCCGCCCTCGAGGCGCGTTGCACAGGGATGCGTGATTCGTCACTCAACGCGGCGGGTCTTGCAAGCGATTCTCGCCACACTACTTCCAGCATTCTTCTCTCATCGGAGGGGAAGACGGTTATCGAAGAGACTGTCGTCCTCTTTGCTCCTGTGGACGAAAGTGGGGTTCGTAGTGGAAGACGCTTGTTGAAGCGACGCGCGGCGGTCCTTTGCTCTGGGGAGGTGCGGCCGTATACCGCCGACGAGGTGCAGGCCACGGCGGGGAATGAATTAGCGTCAGGTAAGGCGGTGCACTTATTTATCGGACATTATCGCCAGTCTACCGCTCCTGGTTCCCTTCAAGAGAAGGCAATTAAGGAGGGTTCTGGGAGGATGTACTTTGCCGATGGAAGCTTCTTTCTTGGAAACTGGGTGAACAACCACCGCTGCGACATGAGGGCGCTCTACTCCTCGTTTGGTTATGCCTACTAGTGCGAATTCAGGGATGATGTGCCTCAAGGGCATGCCTCGGAGTACTTTCCAGCTGAGGAGAAGTACGCTGGTGAATTCGTTGCGGGGCGGCCTCACAGCCGTGGAGTGACGTACTACCCTCGCAATGGCTCTATCCTCGCTGGTGGGCATGCTTGCGTTGAAAAGCACTGCTCTGGGGTTGTTTTTTTTCTTTTACTAAAACGGGGATGTCTTCGAGGGAGCCTGGGTAGGCGGCTATCGCTCGGGTGTGGGGGTCTCTACGTTTGCAGCAGGGAGAGGCCAGTCCTCGCGGAGGAGGCATGACGGTGGTAGGCGATACGTGCGGGCGCACTGGCACTCTGGTCGGTGCATCTGGGGGAATGTGCGTCATGGCCCAATGCACGAGGCGCCCTCGCTGGAGAGATACATGGAGGAAGGTCAGATTACGGCCCTTGGAGGCCTTGAGAGTGCCTTTGTAGGCAGCGTTGCAGCGCTCCAGGTAGCGCACGGACCCGTACGAGAGATACCGCCTCTGCTGCTGCGCCGTGTGGAGCGCTGCTTTGATTACCTGGATGAAACGTGTACAGGAGAGGTGTCGTTGCCGGCGCTTGGCGCGGCCTTTGAATCGCCTCCGTCAAGGGAGTTGAAGCTTCAGTCCCTCCTCAAGGCCGCCCAGCCCTCCTCCAGTTCTGCTTCCCCACGCGACAATGACGGGAGTATACATGTCGGCTTTGCCGCGTTTCTCCAAGGCTTGTTCCCTCAGCTGGGCGAGGCGGACATTCAGAGACTTGTGCTGCATGAATTGTCACTGGAGACGCTATTTCGTCTGCGTGGCGTACCTGCCGGAGTGGTTTGCAAGCAAGAAGGATGGGTTTTTGTTCCTTCTGCACGCATGCCAAGAAGACGCGTTGCTGCACATTGCCTCACGAGAGTTTGAAGGCGGACTCCGGGCGACTAGCGGAGGCGTCGAGCACCAAAAAAAAAGACGGATGCTGCCGCCCAACTCACCCCGGAGGACTTCCATGCGACGAAGGGAGCATTGGGCGGTGCGCGTGTGCCGCGTGGTCTCTTTTTTCGGCAGGAGGTTTTGAATGGAGTCGGGCGTCTCAGTTTTCAAGAGCTGCTGGAGGGGATCTACTTGTGCCTCGCCTCAGAGATGCTGCGCCGGTGCGAAGTAACGTCGTTTCCGCCGCACATGCTTTAGGGTTACTCTTGTAGGCGTTTTCAAGGTTGGACGAATCTCACACCGGATCACTCTCCATACAAGCGATGGCTGCCGCGCAGCGAAACTTTCTGGCCGCCCGAGCGAAGGGCCACCAACGCATTCCACGACCAGCGAACGCGTTGGAGCAGTTTGCACTCCCTGGGCGACGACGTTGCCTTGTACACTGGGAGGTCGCCGATATCGCACTTTCGGTCTCTTTTGCAAAGTACATGGACCGGTCTAAGCGTGTCTCGGTGACGCTGGCCGAGATATTGCGTCACGCTTACCCAAACGTGCCGTGCCTGGCGACCAAAGACCGTCTTTTGCCTGCGGCGTTACCGGCCCGCCGTGGAGCCCAGAGAAGAGAGGGTCAAATGAGTACAGCCGCCAGAACGGGGCATCCGAATTTCCCCGGGTCCGCAGTTCCACCTCCCCGCTGCTGCCGCTGCCGCTGCTGCTGCTGCTGCGCTGCTGCTGCTGCTGCTGCGTCTGCACAATGTGTGCCGCGCTTGGCCTCACGCTGGGCGTCTGCTGCGGAATATGACGCGGTCGTCGATGTGCCTTTTTGTCTTGCTTTATTTAGTTCCTGTTGTTGTTTTTCTTCCCCCCTCTGTGTACTCAATGTACCGCGTGTGTGCCATTCGGTGCAGGGTTTGTGGATTCATGTTTGCTGTTCTTTTGTGGTCACTTTCTGGGCGCCGGCGCTGCTGTGCGGAGCTGCGGTGGAAAAAAGTCGCGGCGGGGCATCGCTTTCTCTTTTCTCTCTGCCTCGGGTGGTGGTGAAGGGGCTTCGGCCGGGTAGCTGAAGGCGGGAGGAGCAACAAAAAGGAGAGCGGGGGCGGAGAGGCGAACAACAACCGCCCACACGACGAATAGCGGCAAGTGCGCCTACACACAAACACCGGACGAAGAAACGGAGTGAGACTGTGAGTGTGTCTGTGTGTGTGAGATAGAAAAAGAGAGGGCGAACACAAGAAAAGAAAGAAGAAAAAAAATAGAGAGCGAGAGCCCAAGGGGCGAGTGAAGCGAACATCAAGGAAGAAAAAAAAAGGAGGGGGTGTGAAAGGGGAAAACAACACAAGAAAAGAAAAGGACCCACCCAAAATTATGCGCCTGAAGGCCACGTCATTATCTTGCGCCTTTGCGTGGGCCCCGCGCAGCCTTGGCAACCCAACGTTTCTCGCCGCGGCCTCACTGGCAGGGGCGATGGACGACGACTTCAGCAACGAGGCCTTCTTGGAGATTCGTCTCGTGGACGTCACGCAAACCGATGAAATTGAAATGCCCGTGGTGGGTCGCACGCTTGTGCCGGAGCGGGCATTTCGCGTCGACTGGTGCCCAGTTGGAGGGCCAGCCGGCATGATTGCCGTGGCGTGTTGCAACGGCGCGGTGTACGTGTACGACGCGAGCGTCATGATGAAGAATCACCAGCTGGGCCCGAACTCCCACACGGAGAATCCACTGCTGTGCGCCATTTCTGAGCATCGCGGGGCGGTGCGCGGGTGTCAGTTTAATCCATCGCAGCCCAACTTCCTCGCAATCGGCGCCGACGACGGTGAGTGGGACGTGTGGACGCTGGAGGACCCGAGGGAACCGCAGCGCGTTCCCGTCATGTCGAATGCGGCACACACCGCCGCCATCGTGCAACTTCAGTGGCACCCGAAGTACCCGCATATCATTGCCACCGCCTCCTCAAACAGCATTGTCAATGTGTGGAACCTAAAGTCCCAGACCCTGGCGGTTTCGTTAAATGTATCAAAGGGAGGAAAGTCGGGGGCGAGCGCAAACGCTATTGCGTGGCATCCTGCGGTTGCAACACAGATTGCCGTGGCACTTGACGAGAAGGATCCTGTAATTCAAATATGGGACTTGAAAAAGTCTATGGTGCCCTTGCGTGAGATGCGCGGCCACCAAGGCGCTGTCACAGGTTTGACGTGGAACTCCGAAGACGCATCTATGATGGCGTCTTGCTCGGCTGACGGCAACACCATGTGGTGGAATCCTTCCACGGGGGAGCGAAGTGGCGCGCTGCAGCAGGAAAACAACTACGTCATCGACGTTCAGTGGTCACCGGTACTCCCCGCCGTTTTGGCGACCTCCTCGTTTGAGCCGTTGCTATGTGTGTCGACGGCCGAGGACGCTTCCGCCGCCGCCGCCGCGGGCGCACCGGTGCCGAGTTGGCTCAAGAGGCCATGCGGGGCGTCGGTCAGCCTGGGCGGCCTTGTTGCCTCCCTTGCGCCCCACTCCTCGACGCGGGTGGGCCTCACCTATGTCGTGGAGAAGTGCGCCTTGAGCCCAACGACCTCGCAGGACCTCGCATTCCGCGAGGCGTTGAGGCAGTATCCTCGTGGCTCGGAGGAACGGGTGAAATGGTTGAAGGCGCAAAACTACAACCTCCTGGCGGCGGCGGCGGCGTGCAAAGACGACCGAACTCCCATTCTCGCCTACCTCAATGAGGAGGCCTCCTCCCACGACGAGGGCGAGGACCCGTTTGAAACCATGCAGGCATCGCAAAAATCACTGGAAGATATTGCGGCTGCTCACATTGCGGCGGGCCGCATTCGCGAGGCGGTGGAGGTGTGCCTTGACAATTGCCGTTTTGACGACGCCTTCGCGATTGCCTACCTTCAGGGTGGAACCTTGTTGCAGCGCGTGCAGCAGGAGTACGCTCAGTATACCCTGAATCAGAGCCATGACAAGCGACACGTGGTGTATGCGGCGGCTATAGCCTCGGGGGATTTTGCCTCCTTAACAGCGACCGAAAATGTCCCTTGGAGGGAGGCCCTCTCTGTGATCATCTCCTTTGTGGGCGACGGCTTTGCGGACGCGTGCGATAAGTTGGGGGAGGCGCTGAAAAGTAAGGGTAACAGGGAAGGGGCCATCACATGTTTCGTCTGCAGCGGCAACGTGGATGCCGTGCTGCAGCTCTGGCGCGAGGAGGACAGCTCCGTGCGGAAGATGATGCGTGAGGCTCTTCTTCTTGAGGAGGTCACGGGGCGACGTGTGACGTCGACGTTTTTTTCCGATTGCCTCTACGAGTACGGCATGAAGCTGGTGGGCGATGGGATGTTGTCGGAGGGGACGTCCGTGCTGCAGCGCGCGGCGAGTATTGGCAACCGCGGCGCGGCAATTATGGTGGACCGCCTGAAGTTTCAAGTGCCTGTCGGAGAAGCTGTTTTTCCCTTCGCCGTGATGCCGCTGTCGGACGCCCCGAGCCCATCGTGTGCAGCCTTCATGGCACAGCAGCAGCAGCAGCAACAACAACAACAACAGCAGCAACAGCCACCGCCGCCGCATCTGCAACAACAACAACAGCAGCAGCAGCAACGATTCCACATGCCTGGTCAGCAGCAACAGCAGCAGCAACAACAACCTCAAAGGCCGGCGCAGCAACCGCCGATGACTATGCAGCAGCAACAGCAACAGCAACCACCCGTGCAGGCCCAAAACTTTTATGTACAACAGCAACAACCACCGTTGCAGGGTATGACGGCACCGCCTCGTTCAGCTGTGCCTACAATGCCACCAGCCTTAAGCCAAGGTCCAGCCGGCACAGCGGCGACAACTCGGCTTATGCCTCATCCTATTTCTTCGTATTCTTCGATGAAGCAAGCGGGTGCTGCGTCTTCCGGACCCTCACCGACGCCGGCGTCTGAGGGCTACAGCAATGGTATGATGCCATCGGTGCCACCTCGCCAGCAACCGTCGTTCGCAGCGCAGGGCGGCTACACTGCACCGCAGCAAAGCTACCTTGACCCTAATAAGCCTTTGCCGCCACCACCAATGCCGTCTGGTTCGCGAGGCTCTTCCATGCCTGGGGCGCAGGCAACCGTAGGGCCGCCTCAACCTGCCGGCGCACAACAAATGCGACAACCAATGCCGTCTCAAGGAACTGGTACTGTGCTGCCGCCACCGCCGCACCCTGGCGCATCGTTAGTTCCTTCCCAACAGGTTGGAGGATTTGGCGGGCATTCGCAGCCGATTTCGGCTGGCGCTCCAAACGCCACCGCGTACCATGCAGGAGTGAAGGATAATGCACAAGCCAATAATCCGAATCCCCAAGGGGGTGTCCCGTCGCATTACGGCAATCCCTCCGCTCCTGGGATGCCGGTAGCGCAGTCTACCACCCCCACACCCTCAGGGCTGGCGCCTCCACCAGCACGACCGATGATGCCGGCCCCCAGCAACTTATCCTTTGGTGCGCCAACCAGAGAAGGCTCAATGGGTAGCTCTTTGCCAACTTCTCATGGCGTTGGGAATGCGCCGCCTTATAAGCCTTCCTTGCCGCCGCCACAAAACATGGTGATGCCTCAGAATACTATGCCCCGACCTCAGCCAGCTGCCTCGACAACGTCTTCCTATGGCCCGCCATCGCACGCAGCGAACTCTTTTATCCCATCTCCGCACGGCGGCGGCGCGTTTACTCCTGCGATGGCCTCCCGTCCCCCAGGCGGTGCGCCGTTGGCTGCTGCCAGCGTCGCTGATGATGCCGACCTGTCGCGGTTTGACATCTCCACACTCAACCCTGCGCACCAGGCACTCGCGCAGCGACTTTGCGTCGATGTTCAGCAGGTTGGTAATGCTCAACGTCGTTCGGTGATTTCAAAGGCGGCATTAGAGCTGTTTAAATTGCTTCAGCGCGGTGCACTTCCACCGGAAGTAGTTTCTCTGGTTACTAATTATGTGAATGCGATGGGGACTCCTCACGCGAAGAATGCTTGGCGACAGCTTTCCGATGCTCACTTCGATGTAGTACAGCCGTTTCTGAACCTCAAATTTTTGTCGAGGAATGACGGGGCCCCTAATTAACCACGAACGCTTTCGTCTGCTGTGGGGTTGTCGCCACGGCGGTTGGTTGTGTTCCTCCCTTACCTCTCTGAGTATGTGCGCTTCTCCACGAAGAAAGAGAAGGAGAGGAGCCTTTTCCACACTCGCTTCCTGTAAACGCTGTTTTTATGTTTCTTTTTTTTTCCGTGCCCTTTTCTGTACTGACCACGCAGGCATCATTGTCGTTATTTTTTTGCTTTTCTTTTTGGTGGCAGGGAACTCAGCCCAAGTGCCC